TGCCGAGGCTATGAACTTCAACTGCTTCTTTTTTGTGGCTTTTTTTTTTTGGGACACTGGTGATGCTCAGGAGTTGCTTCTGGCTCTGCACTCAGAAATCACTCCTGCCAGTGCTTGGGTGGACCTTATGGGATGCCGGGGCTTGAACCCAGGTCGGCCTATGCAAGGCAAACACCCTACTCTGTACTATTGGCCCAGCCCCTGCTATGGGATTCTTCCTGAAAGACCACACTGCCCAGTCCAGACTGGGCCCTCCTGGGGCCTACAGTGAGGGGTGTGCCCGTGACTGCTGCAGGTTTCTACATGTGCACCTGGGTGTGTATTGCACAGGCTGCATTGCTCTGCGTGGGGGCACTAGGCATGTGCCCAAGCACCTGCAAAGAGGATCCCAGCCCTTCATCAGGAACTTTTGATTTTTTGTTTTGGGGCCACACCTAGCAATGCTCAGGGGTTACTCCAGGCTAATCAGTCCTGGCAGTGCTCAGGGGAATCTTATGGGATGCTGGGGATTGAACCCAGGTTGGCTGCATGCAAGGTAAATGCACGACCCGTTGTAAAATCTCTCCAGCCCCTCTGCCTTCGCTAAAACTTACCAGAAGTTGAAATTTCTGACACTTGACTAGACCCAGGGAACTTGAAGGGCCTTGCCACATTTTTGCTTGTTTTTTTTTTCCTCTCGGTTTTGGTGTTGGGGGCTCTTCCCAGCTGATTTGGTGTTGGGGGTAACTTCTGGGACCACTGGGGTCAAGCGTGTCTCCAGGCCTTGCCCTCAGCTCTTTTAGGTTATTTTGTTTGTCTCCTATCTGCTATTCCAATGCTCAGGCCCATCGCTTAGGATATTTTTGTTTTGTTGGTTTTGGGTCACACACACCCGGCAATGCTCAGGGCTTCCTCCTGGCTCTGCACTCAGGGATTACTCCTGGTGGTGGGTGCTTGGTGTACCATTATGAAGTCCAACAGATTTGCATTCAGATTTCTTCTTTGTCACTTGCAGGTGGTTTGTGAGCCTAGAAAGGTATAAGATGCTTCCTTGGCCAGATGGAGTTCATAGTTAATATTTCTTTTCCCTTTAGGCTAAATTTGTTATTTAGCCTTGTCTTTGTTTTTTTGGAAAATGTGGCCATCTATAGAAATATTAGAAATACAAAAGATTATGAAGATCACATTTACAGCAAAGATTACTTTCCAGGTCACCTGATTCCTGTTGTTGGCTTCAACTTTACCCCAATAGGAATTTTTTATACTTTTTATAGACTCTTCTGTATCGTTGGAGGGCCACACCAGGCTATAGGAACAGGAGGAATAAGTATCACTTATGGAGGCTCTCAGCCTCCCTTTTGGAGACTCACAAAGCTCCCTGGGAAGGAGTGATTGTGATTTAATGGGAACCTGAGCTCTAATGAAGGCCACAGCGCCAGGCCTGTACTGTCCCAGACCTGGCCAGTTCAGCTGCCACAGTGTTTTATCTTTAAAGTGCCCTTATCTTTCTGGTTGGACTTTCAAAGGTGGAGAGGAAGTGGCAGGCCCAGCGTTGCCAGAGTTCAGCACAGACGGCTGCCCAATAGCTCTAGTCCCATCTTCTGGGTAGGAAAAACAAGATAGTAGGTTCTGGAGAGATAGTCAAGCGGGTGAGGCCCTTGCCTTGCAGGTGACTGACCCAGCTTCGATCTCTGGCACTTCATAGACTCCCCGAGTCCTGCCAGGAGTGATCTCTGAGCGCAGAGTCAGGAGGGAGAGCTGTGCATCACTGGGTGTGACCTCTACCCCTGTCCCCACCAAAAAAAAAAAAAAAAAGAAAGAAAAAAAAGGAAAACCAAGGTAGAAGACCAGAAACTGCTCTGCGGCCCACGGTGATTTGAGCATTGAAATGAGCGGCCCGTCTCACTGGGTGTGGAAATGAGAGCAGGGAAAGCAAGTGACCGGCTCCAGCAGAGGACCCTAGCGAGGGGCAGAGATCTAGTAAGGCGCAGAACCAGTGTTGGCTGAGGCCCTTTGGCGGCCGCCTGCCCCCGCCCACTGGAGGCGGAGCTCCGGGCCTTCCCCGCCCACTGGGGCGGGGTCCAGGGTATCCCCGCCCGCGAGGCGGGGCCCCAGGCCTCGCCCCCACCCCCGCGCCGCCGTTTCCTGCCTGCGCGGCTGGGCGGGCGGCCGGCCCATCTGGCGGCCCCCACGGGGCGGCGCGGGGAGGCGGCCCAGACTCACTGGAGCCAGGCGCCGGCCGGGCGGGGTTGCGGGGGAGCCCTGCCCGCTCGCAGAGCCCAGGTGTGGCCGCGGCGGGGGCGGGGGTGGTGCTTTCCTTCCCGCTCGGCCCTTCCTGACGCACCCGGGGCAGGATGCAGCCTTCCCGGCCTCGCGGCGGGAGAGGGGTGCGCGGGGGGCAGCAGGGCCCCTGTCCGGTGCCCACTCCTTGTGAGACCCCCGGCAAGTCTTGCCCATTTTCCGGAAGGTTTGTGTGTATGTGTGTGTGTGTGTGTGTGTGTGTGTGTGTGTAGGGTGGGGTGGTGGGTGTCTCCTTTTTTCTATTTGAGTAAGAGCAATCGAGATCCCTGCATCTCATCACCCCCCACCCCCACCCCCATTGTGGGTGCTGGACACCCCTATCCTGCGTTAGGTCCTGCATGTCACCCACCGGGCAGCATCCAGTTCTCAGCCCTCAGATGTGTCCCTGAGCAGAGTCAGCAGGGGCATGGTGGGGTGGGGGTATGCTTGACCCCCCAGGGGCACTTCAGGGCTTTACTCCCCATTGCCCGCTGGTGGTCCCAGGAGGGGAGGGTCTTAGCCAGGTGCGCTGAGGCAGGACGGAGCCAGCCCTGCTCCATCCCATGCGACTCTCCTCCCTGCCAGCCCCTCCAGGAAGGGGACCCCAGAATCCGGGTTCAAATCCTCCCTGTGCGATTAAAGTCTCTACTTGTTTCCTTTGTTAAGTGAAAAAATAAGTAAAATAAAACCAAGGCGGAAAAAAAAACCAAAACAAAAAAAAGGAGGGTTTCTGCCTCACAGGGCTGTTACAACTATTAAATGTTTCTGAAATACATAGCATAATGCTAGACACATGTTAAATACAAATGAAATAAGTATGTTTTGGGGCTCTCTGCCCAGATTGGTCTTGCCCCCAGGGTCTCCCTCCCACCTACTGTAACCCCAGAGCCTGCAGGGGCCTGGAGGGACCCCAAACAGATCGGCGGCAGAACACGGGGGCTTGGAGGCAGCTCCCAGGAATCCACCCCCACTCTCCGGGGTGAGACTGGCACCAGGCCCACCCAGGGCCCTGCCCAGCCGCCCACCCCCGCCTCCCCAGTGCGCAAGCCCAATCCGTGCCCGGCCTGGTGCCATTTTTCCGTGGGACCCTGGCGGTGGCGGTTCACATCTGGAGTCTAGACTCGGAGGCTCTGCGGGCCGGGCCTACCGCCCGGGCGGGCCACGGCTGCCCGCTGTTTGCTCAGCTGAAGCTGGTTAATTGGAATTAGAGTGGCCTCTGTGGTGCTGGCTGGCCGGGCGGGCCCTGGACGGCCGTTGCCGAGGTCTGTGGAACATCTGGCCCCGCCAGGACGGTCATTAGGTGGCAGGCGCCCGGCGCCACTGCCACCTCAGGCTCCGCTGGGGGCCGGCGGTGACTCAATGAGGTCTTTGTAGGCCCCGGGCTGAGGAGCCAACCACGCTGTGGGCCTGGGCTGCCTGCCCCATCTGCCGCCCTCAGAGGGGCCTTGTTCGAGGACCACATGGCCGCCCCTCCGGAGGCGGCGGGGCTGGTGGAGGCCTGGGAGCCCCCACGCGAGGAGCCCCGCAGCGGTTCCCCCTTCCTTGCCTCATAGCACCCCAGGAAGGCCCAGAGAAGGGTTCGTGCGCACCGGCCAGCAGCCGCAGCCCAGGGCTCTGGAGGGAAGCTGCAGGGCGCTGGCCCGCGTTGGCTGGCAAGCTCCCACTGCTCACGCCTGCACGGCCAGACAGAGGAGCACCCACAGCCGGCAACGGCGAGCGTGGAGGAAGCCTGGAACCCAGGGGACTCCATGCCTAGAGCTGATTGCAGTGACACTTGATTCTCTGATCCTACTTGTCCTTTAGCCAATCCAAACTCCGGGGAGCTTTCGGCCTCCAGCCTGGGTCTTAAGTAGGGGCGGGCTGGGGTTTGGAGCCTTGAACCTGAGGCCGTGCCCTCTCCCCTGTTTCTCAACCCCAGGATCCTGTGCCAGGCAGGTGGGTAAGGGCTGCGCCCGCACCTTGCCTGGTCCTCTGGGGGTGCTCCCGCGGGCCAGGGCCGCTGTTTGTCCTGGAGAAAGCCCTGACCCTGGCTTCTCCAGATCTTCGGCCTGGATGGCACTATGGGTAGAGGCCCCTGCAGACTCTCAGGCGGGCGGCCTGCCCAGGGCTCCTGGCCCGGCCTCCCTGTGGGGATGGGGGCATTCCTACATCAGGATCCTCCGGGATGTGCAGGAGTCACTTTAGGAAGGTCCCTGGCCACACACAGAACAGGAGTGATGGGTTTGGGTGTCCCAGCAATCTCAAGTCCAGCGTGCTCCCGCCGAAGCCCTCGAGACCACAGGCCTGGGAATAACCGAAACTTCTTGGGGGCCGCGAGGCCCTATCTTGTCTCTGGCTTTACGGATGCCTGTCCTGTGGGAGCCAGGCCAGTGTCCTGCTGCTCCCCTCCACGTCTCCAGCGGCGGCCAGGGCAGCTGCACTTGGCACCAGTCCACCATGCTCGTTCTCCCCCCACCCCCCTGTTGGGAGTGGATGGTGGTGGTGGTGGTGGGGGAAGGGCCCAGAGCCCGTTCTGCTGGCCAGGGTGTCCTTGGGGTGCTGAGTCGACTGACTGGTCCATGCGGGGCCAAGACCTTGGGGTACAGAAGGGAGCAGAGGTCACAGCCTCACCCCAGACAGTGTGAGTCCGGAGTGCCCAGGAAGAAGCAGACAGGAAAGTATTTTCGGGGAAGGGAAGACCCAGTAAATCCAACACGAGATGCGGGTGCGGCGAGCTCGGCCAGGACAGCGGCCCACGGGGGGCAATGGAATGAGTTTTTTAATGGGAGGCAAAGTCAGTTCGCAATACAAAACCCTATAAAGCACACCCACTTTCCCCACCTGGCACTGGGGGGGATGGGGACCGTAGGGGGCTTCCTTTGCCTGCGGGGGTGGAGAGGCAGGGGTGGGCCTGCCCCACAGTCAGTCGGTCGGTCGGTTGGTCGGTCAGCTGGTTGGTCAGTCGGTCAGTCGCTCCCGTGCCCGCAGGCTGCACACGCGGCCGCAGTCCCGCCGGCGGCTCTGGCTGCAGAAGGTCTGGGCGCTGCCGCGTCACTTCTCCTTCTTCTCCAGCCCCTGCGACCCTGACGCCTCGGTGCCCTCTTTGGATTCTGTCGCTGCCGCTGTATCCTTAGGATTTGACTCCTCGTAGCTGACCGAGAAGCAAAACGAGCAGAACATCAGGTTTAAAGGAGGCGGGGAGACGCCTGTGTGCCCGGCTGGCGGGCCGACCCCCCCCACCCAACAGGAGCCCCTCGGCACACGGGCCACCGCCCGCCACTGACAGGATGCTGCGATGTCTGTGCCCGCAGTAGCCAAGAGAGAGCGAGGGCAGCGGCGAGGGGAGGGGAGGTGGGGTTGAGGCTGCTGCAGACCAGCGCTCGGCTTCCTGAATGTTCCACTGGAGGGCAGTGGCAGGGGTGGCAGGAGAAAGGCCGGGAGCCGGGCCGCCTCCCAGGGCACGAGGTGTCCGGGGGTACAGGCGGGGGCTGGGGCAGTTCACCCGGCAAGTGGCAAGGCGCCACGCTTGCAGGCGGACACCCTGGCCTACCTCTTCCTATGGACTTCACTCATTGAGCAACTGAGTTCAAGCCAAGGCCAACGGCACATTTCCTCACCGGGTCCCCCCCGAGGCAGGAATGTGCCCACTGAGGGATGAAGAAAGAGAACTCGGGGAGAGGAAAGTAACTTGCCCAAGGTTATGGATACACACCCGGTGAGGAGCAGTAGCACCCTCACGGTCCTGATCCACTCTCGGGAGCCCCACGTTCCTGTGGACACCCCAGGCCCCGGCCCCCAAGGCCTGGCCATGGACACCTGGTGGTGGTGGCGTGGAGAGAGGGTCGTGCCGCCCGCCCCAGGCAATGCTCCCTGGCCCGTGCACTGGAGTGGGGGGGTGGGGGGAGGTCTGCCCTACCTTGGGCCTCGGGGCAGTGGGGGAAAGTGGGCAGGCGGACACCCGCTGGGCACTACATGGCGCTGGGGCTGTGCGGGCGCCGGCGGTGCGGGCCGGCCAGCTTCTGCTGCATGGAGTCGGCCAGGCTGGCGGGGGAGCCCGAGACCGTGGGGAAGTGGGTGAGCCTCGGGGTATGAGGCAGGATTTCCGCCGAGGACTCGTAGCTGTGTGAGAGACAGACAGAGAGAGAACGAAGAGATGGAGAGGAGAGACCAGGGAGGTCCGAGCAGGGGGCAGAGTCGTGCCTGCGGGCATCGGGGCTGGGGGACACCACCCCCAGGGACCCCATGCAGCTGGGCAGGGGCATGTAGCCGCAGGAATCCCAGAGACCCACGCCAATGGCTGCGTGCTAGCTAGCTAGCAGAGGGCCCTGTGCCACCCGGGCTCTTCGGGGCGGTGGGGCGAGTGTCAGGGCTGGCCTGCCCTTGGGCAGCTGGGCCCGCTGGGAAGGGAGGAATGAAGGAGAAAGCAGAAAAGGAGAAGGAAAGAGGTGGACAGGGAGGAGACGGGCTGCCTGTGCTCACTGCCACCCCCTCGGGCGGATGGGCAGGTCAGGTGCAGGCGCCGGGGGTGGGGGGGTGGGGGGCACTGCCGAGCTGATAAGCGGGGGCTGAAGCTGGGAGGGGGGAGGCCCCCCCCGCCTGCCCCCAGGTTCACCCCCAGCCGTGCCTCTGAGCGTGTGGGGCTGCAGGCAGGCGGGCGGGGAGCCTGGGCGCAGGGCAGGGCAGAGGCAGGTGCGGGGGAGGGTGAGTCACGGGTTCCCCTGCAGGCAGCCAGGTGCACCGAAGGCCCCAGCAGGCGCTTGGAGGGACAACCGGGGGCCAGGCAGGTGGAGCGGGGTGGCGGGCCCCCAAGTGGGCAGCTTCCAGCTATTTCTGGGTCCCCGGCAGGCGGGTCTGGGGGTGTCGGGGAGCAGACACCTGTCGGCGTCACGCACTCGGGGGGCAGGGGTGAGGCTGTGCACGGGGCGTGGTGGGTGTGTGTGTGTGGCCGCGGGGAAGGGGTGTGTGTGGCTGTGTGGGACCTGCCGTGCGGGGGCTTCCTGCCAGCCCAGGCCCTCCTCCTCTTACTCAGATGGGAGGACCAAGGTGGGGGAACCCTGACATGGGGATGGGGGGGCAGCAGAGTAGGGTGGGGTTGGGGCAGTCAGCTGCCGGCCCAGAGACAGTTCCCAGTTCCGGCTGCTGCCCACAAGCCAGGCACACCCTAAGCGGCGACAGACATTGCAGGGGACAGGAAGGGCCCCCACCCGGCCTTACCTGAACATCTCTGTCACTTCTCCCTTGGCCAGTGCCACCAGGACGGGAAAGCCGATGCAGGCGGGGACCAGGTAGAGCAGAGCTGGCTGCAGAAGGACAGGCGGGTGAGGGGATGGGCGGGGCACACCCTGGGCCCTTTGTGGGGCGTGGCTGTCCCGCCCGCTGCCCCGTGCCCAGCGCCCTTTCAGGAACACAGGGAGCCCCCCATCTGCCCAGCCCCCAACCATGGGGGGGTCACCCAGCATGTCACCCAGCGCCCCTGCCTGGGTCCAGCCTGTTCCCAGAGAGCCTCAGTCCTTAGGTGGGGGCTAGAGCTAGGACACGGCCCTCGGGACGCCCACAGGTGGTGGCGCTGCCAGGACTCGCCCAGGGGTCCAGGCCGGGCCTGTGTGAGACATCAGCGAGACCGGGGGGACGAACATCACAGGAGGAGGATGTGAGGGTGTCCCTGCTCCCCTCTGCCTGCCCCCAGCCTTGGGGGGGCTGTGGGGAGGGGGAGGGGTCCCGGCCCCTAGAGGGATGTGAAGAAGCCTGAGGACAGAGTTCGGCTGCGCCGACTCAGAGCGACTCTCCCCGGAGCACCTGGCCCAGGTGCAGCCCTGCGGGTGCTCGGTGTTCCCAGAGGTCTGAAGCCCCCAGGAGAGGCCCTTGCATCCTCCTGCAACCTGCCCTGACCCGCCCGCCTGTCTCCTTGTCACTGGCCGCAGGCCCCCTGCCCTGCAGTGTCTGGAGTGCCTGGCCCTGGCTGCGAGCCGCAGGCAGGCCCTGTCCACTCGCTGTCCCTCTCCCGGTGCCTGGTACGCAGAAGCCGACCCGGCCAGTCCTGAGCAAGTGGCTTCAACCCGGGGGCTCAGGACGGCCGCCGGGGAGAGGACACTGCCCGGCTGGGGAGCGGGACTCCACGAGCATCCCTGCCGGCCCTGCGGGTCAGGACCCACATTTCCTAGAGGACCTGGCGGAGGCTTACGCAGGGGGAAGGAGTTGCCCGAGGCCCCAGAGCGTGGGAAAGTGGCCAAGCTGGGGTTCAGACCCGGACAGCCAAGCCTCCCCACCGCCCCCCCACTGTGTCAGGGCCCTGCTAGGAGCTAGGCTCCGGGGCAAGAGTGACATCGCTCACAATGACACAGGTCCACACCAAAACCTGGCAGAGGCAGCCAAAAGCAGGACTCAGCAAAACTTACAACTTCAAGAGCATCTACTAGAGATGAGCAAAGCAGGCGATCTCAGCTCCCAAGTCAGGTAAAGCTAGGGAAAGCTAAAACGAAACAACTACCCCCCACTACCCCCCCGCCCCCCCAAAAAAAACCCGAGGAAAAAGAAATGAAGGCCGAAGCAGAAATCAATGAAGGAGAAAATGGAACAAACACAAACGCACTAAGCGATTATTTCCGAAAAGTCGATCTCCTCATACCCATTTCATAGATGAAGAGGCTGAGGACAGGAGGGAAAAGGCTCTGCCCTAATCACACAGCCGGGCAGGATGTGCGCGCAGGCTCCTTGATCGCTAAGTCCAGCATACTCTCTTCGCTGCGGCTATGCTGGCAAGAGAGAGGGCTTTCCGGGGGAGGGGGGGAGGGAGAGGTCAGCCCCCTCAAGCCCGCCTCGCGGCCGCCCTGGAACTCCTCTGGGAGTCCACCTGTTCCTCTGCCTTGGTGAAGTGAAACTGTTTTTTGTTTTGTTTGTTCTGTTTTTGGGGGGCCACACCCGGCGATGCTCGGGAATTACTCCTGGCGGTGCTCAGGGACCCTGCCAGGCAAACGCCCTAGACCTGCTCAGATCGCTCTCTGGCCCCCGAAGTGAAACAGTTTTACTGAGGGGGCGGGGGTGGTGGTGTGGGAATCCCAGAGAGATCAGGGGGCTTCCTCCAAGCGGGGAGTGTTCTCAGGCGGGGGTGTGGGCTACCCCCCAGAACGGGGGCGGGGGGGGGGCGTCTTGAGATTTCTTCGTTGCTCTCAAGGCACGAGCTGAGGCCTCCAAAGAGAATGTGAAGGAGTGGGTGGCAGGCCCAGCAGGGGTGGGTGAGCTGGGCCACCTCCCACGAACCATCTGCATTCCCTCTGCGCCATGGACCCCCGGGGTTACTCCCTAGCTTGCACTTGTGGGTGGGGCTTTCGATGGAGGCTGATGGGCTGATGAGCACATAGATCAGGTGACCCCGATCAGGAAACCATCCCTGTGCCCAACAGAGGAGGAGATGAAACAATTCCAGCAACTGGCCACAGGGAAGAGTGGGGAGAGCCGCAGGGGCGCGCACGGGCTGGGAGCAGAGGTCAGGGGCCACTGGGCTGCTGTGAGACCCCCGGGAGGTTTGTCTTCTCCGGGCTGTTCTCTCCAGCGGAAACCGGCCCTGTCCTCGACCTCCTGGAGTCCAGCGTGGGCCTGATGCAAGCCTGCCACCTGGTGGCCTCCTGGGGAACAGTTCCCGGCCCGGGCGACCAAAAAGGTGAGTCCAGGCTGGCCCCCAGTTCCAGGCGCAGTCACTTGACAGCCTCCTTGCTAAATGCAGTTCACTCTCAGTCCGCAAAATCCCTGGGATTCTTTGGAGCAGAAATAAAGGGGAGGTGGTTCCCCACTGGCTTTTGCTTTGCTCCACTTATCAGCAGGGGAGCCTTGGATCTTCTATAGAGAATACTAGGGTCAGGTGGAGAATTCAAAGTGCTGGTGAGCATACTTTGCATGCAGGAGCCCCTGATTTAATCCTGGCGCCACGTGGCACCCTGAGCACCACTAGGCGCAAACCCCAAGATGGGAGAAGCTTCCAAGCCCCATCGGGTGTGGCCCCCAATCCCAACACCCCCCAATTCCTCTCCCTCCCCGACTCTCATGTCCATTTTGCAGATACTGTGAACCTATAAACACTGTGAGGACTGGATGTGTTAAATGAGCAAAAGCACATAGCAGAGGGCCTGGCACAGAGCGAGCAGCCTGGTGATTAGCTCAGAGGAGCTCCAGGGAAGAAGGGCTGAGGAGGGGACCTGGGCACTCACTGCATATCCACAGTGGCCACTCTTCCTTGTTCTTTTGACTCTGAGGTCACACCCAAGCAGCGCTCAGGAAACCTCACAGTGCTGGGGCTGAACTGAACCAGGACTCGTGGAGATGTCTGCGTGGAAGGCAAGCGCGTACCTCCCCAGCCCTGGTTCTTGTTAATTATGAGGGACTTAAGCCAGGGCCCAGCGAGGGGTGTGTGTGGGGGGGTGGGGGGGAGGGGAAGTGCAGGTCTGGCCAGCAGGCCCAGAGTGCGGGCAGGGACTGGGGCCAGGCCCCACGACACCCCCGTGGGAGACACCTGAACTCATCTCCCATTCCTGAAGGCCCCTTCTGAAGGACTGAGCGCAGCCTGGCACCTGGGAAGTACTTGTCCTGCTTTTGGTGGTACTGAGAATTGAACCGGGGGCTCCTGCAAGCGAAGCCCATGCTCCCGGGCTCTGCAGCGGCTCCCAGCAGAGTCAGCTCTGCCCTACTCCAGCCCAGTCACCCCCACCAGGCCATGCGGGCAGCTCCTGCCCAGCTGCCGTCACTCAGGGGCAGGCGGAGGGGAAGTGATGGCCAGGCAGGTGGGCACTGGGCTGAAACACCCAACACCTACCTCACCTTTTTTTTTTTTTTTTGCTTTTTGGGTCACACCTGGCGAGGCACAGGGGTTACTCCTGGTTCTGCACTCAGGAGTTACTCCTGGAGGTGCTCAGGGGACCATATGGGATGCTGGGAATCGAACCTAGGTTGGCTGCGTGCAAGGCAAACGCCCTACCCGCTGTGCTACCTCTCCAGCCCCCCCCACCTCCTTTCTTCACTGTTCTCCCCAGATCTACTGTCACTGGGGGCCAGGGGACACTCACCAGGCCCATGAGACGTGGGCAAAAAACTTGCTGAGGATTCTGGAAAAGGTTCTGCGCTCCTGACAACGCACCAGGCGCGGCTAATGTCCCTGTCCTACCCACACGCGGGTGGCTGCCTAGCGCAGTGGCAGCTGCTTTGTGACATGGAGGAAAGTCCAAGAGGATCACGGCCATGCTTACTGACCCCGCTGGGTACTGCCCATCTCTGCACTGCTTGTCACCTGCACCCGCCCTCCCACCCTGGCCCCACTGAGTATCGCCATGCTCACCTGGGCATGCTTGAAGATGTGCATGATGAAGATGGTGAGGCCCAGGCCAAAGATGTAGGCGGCAAAGCTGGTGTAGAAGTAGGTGTGGGTGTTCTTCTTCAGGCTTCCAGGAAGGGGCGGGGGGGGCAGGGGAGAGGGGGGGAGTGCAAGTCAGTACTGGAGTAGCAACGACCCGGAGTGCGGCAGGGACCCCAGAAGCCTGGAAGTGGGTAAGTGCATCCTAGTGTGGTCCCCAACTGTCTTTGAACCTGGAACTTGTCACCCCCCTTTAACACCTCCCCCCCCCCCCCCCCCCCCCCCCCCGCCTGTTTACTCAGGGGCAAAATGGGAAAATCACAAGCTGTCTTCCCGGTGGTTGTGCATATCAAATAGCTTAAACAAAACAAAACAAAGCAACACCCAGCACCCAAGGCCCAAGAGAGTGGCTGTATTTTTAGCCAGTGCATGAATCACCCAGAAAGCGTGGGAGGAGGAAAAAAAAAAAAAAAGGAATTCTGGACTCTGCTCTAACAGGTCCCGGGCAAGCACCCGGAAATCTGCATTCTGAAACCTCAGGCAGCTACGACACTGGTGGCTCAGGCTCTGAGACAGGGAAACGGTGACTGCACGGGGCGGAGGCCCTGCCCAGCCTTGCCCTCGTCACTCTGTCCTCTGCCACGTGAGCTCCACAAGCCCACCAGTCCCCAGCCTCTCCGTGAGGCCTGGGGAACTTGCCACCCCTCCTCTGCGCCCGGTGCAGCAGCTGCACGCACCCCAACAGCGCCCCCTGGGGGAAGCGTCTGGGAGTGTGGACGGGATCCTTGAAGCAGCTCTGCCCGGGTGGTCTAGCCGCCAAGTCCACGACAGAAGCCCAAGATTCTGCCTTGCAGGGTGCTGGTGATGGAACCTGCCTCACCAGCAAGACATGGGATCTCTGCACAGGTGGAGGAGAGTGGGCCCGGGTGTGTGTGTGAGCGTCCTGGGAGCGACTATTAATCTTGGTGCGGGGGTGCAAGTGGGCAGAGCTGAGTTGCCATGCACATGGGGGCTCGGTCTCACACCACTACTGGCCACATTACTGCTGGTTCTGCTTTGATGGGGACACAAGGAGACTAAGCAAAGCTCCTAATCCCCTCAAAACCAAGCACCCTCGCATGCCCTCCACGGGACACTTTCCCTTTTTTTTTTTTTGGACACACACACACACACACACACACACACACACACACACACACACACACACACACAGAGCAGTGCTCAGGGCTTACTCCTGGCTCTGCACTCAAGAATCATTCCTGGTGACACTCAGGGCACCACGTCGGGTGCCAGGGGTCGAGCCTGGGCCGGCCGCATCACAGGGAAGAGCCTACCCACTGTGCTAGCCCCCTGGCCCCACCTTCCCTGTGTCTCAGCTGCAGACCTGAGCTGGCCTGCTCTCCTCTCCCCAGTGCTCACTTCCTGCCATTGGAGCGAGACACAGAGGGGCCTGAGTCGGGATGCTGTAGGCTGGAGGCCCGGGAGGCGGGTGTTTCTTTGTGTGCGTGTTGGTTGGGGGGCCCCAAGGGGCAGAGCTTCCAAAAGCTTACTTACCTGATGTCAAAACGTAGCAGCAAGGCGATGAAAATTCCTGCGGGGAGAGAGGGTGCGTGAGAGGGGTGCGGGAAGGCGGGGCCTGCGGAGGGCCAGAAGGGGCAAGGCAGGAAGCAGCAGGGCAGGGGGAAGGCGTATGCCAACTGGGTTCAATCCTCATGACTGTGTAGGGTCCTCAGGCCAAATGAAAGTGATCCCAGGGGCTGGAGCAGTAGCACAGCAGGTAGGGCGTTTGACTTGCACGTGGCCGACCCGGGTTTGATTCCCAGCATCCCGTAGCACCGCCAGGAGTAATTCCTCAGTGCATGAGCCAGGAGTAACCCCTGTGCACCGCCGGGTGTGACGCAAAAAACAAAAAATGATCCCAGAGGTAGGAATAAGCTGAGCACTGTCAGATGTGGCTAACCTCCCCCGCTACCCCCAAAATATAACTTGCTTAATTGCGGAACCAGTGGCATGGGCCAAGGGGGCAGCCGCTACCCCGTCCCTCTACCCTCAGCCCACCTGGGAAGAAGCTTTGGTGCCATGGTCTTGCCAGCATGTCACTGGCCTGTCCACTCTCAAGCTCCCCACACAGCCGCTGCTGTTATTCAGGAGCCCAGGCGGGGGTGGGGGCAGGGGAGCGGCCGCTGACCACGGAGACACCAGCACTGTAAGTGCCCAAGTGGGCGGGCGAGCCTCCTGTGTCAGCAGCTGGTGGGGGCGGGGGAGAGGGGGTAAGGGGAGGTGGACAGGAAGGAGCGGCTCTTTGCCAGGGGTGGGCCATGTGCAGAGGTCTCCCTGGCGGGGTTGGAGGGCCGGGAAGGCTGCAGTTCCAAGCAGAGGCAGCCGACAGTGGCCACATGGCACGGGGCACCGACGGGGGAGGCCCCGGGCCAGGATGGAGGGGCCACCCCATGGGAAGGGTCTTGGCGGGGACATCCTGGAGACAGGTTTTCTTCCTTTTCTGATCACACCTGGTGATGTTCAGGGGTTATTCCTGGCTCCGCACTCGGGAATTTCTCCTGGTGGAACCCGGGGGACCATACCGGATGCCAGGGACTGAAGTCGGGTTGGCTGTGTGCAAGGCAAACGCCCTACCTGCGGTCTTATCTCTCTGGACCCCAGAGGTAGGTTTTGTTTTGTACTTTTTGTTTGGGGGCCACGACTGGCAGTGCTCAGGGCTTATTCCTGGCCCTATGCCGCGCCTCCTGGAAGAGCCTTTTCCTCTGTTCACACTTCCCCTGAGCCCAGGGCCCAGCGGCCCCAGCACGAGACACAGCTTCTCTCTTTTCTCATCTCTGGGGGCCAGAGAGGACAACAGCCAATTCTGATCTGGTGGAAAACCCAAGTCTTCAGTTTCAAAAACGAAAACTGGCAAAGGGGCTGGGGCACAGTGGTGCGCAGAGCGGGTGGGGAGTTGATGGGTGGGTGGGGGTCGAAAGTGCAGCCTCTCTCCGCGCTGGGCGCCCCCTGGTGGCTGGATTCTCCAACCCACTCCGAACAGGGTTCTGCCCAGAACTTTCAGGCGCCTTCCAACAGCCCAAATGCTGCCTCTGAGAGGGCAGGGGCTCCGGCAGAGGCTCCAGGAGGGCGCAGGCAACTGACACCCGCTGAGAGGCGGAGGTATTTTGCAGGGGTGGAGAGAGACGAATGCCCCATGCTTGCCTTAAGCCCAGACTACATTCGACCAGCACACAAGGTGTCAGGGCACGGAGGCCCTGAGAAGCCAGACGCTTGCTGGGCCTCAGACTCTTTCTTTTTGGCCACACCAGGCGCTGCTCCAGGCTTACTCCGGGCTCTGTGCTGAGATGACTGGGGGATCATCTGTGGTACCAGGAAATGAACCGGTTCGGAGCCATCCATGTGCAAGACAAGCACCTAAACTCCCACAATATCTCTCTGGCCCCCAATGTTGTTTATTTTTTTTGGGGGGGAGGGCTTTTTTTCATACAAACGCCCCACTCACTGTACTATTGCTCTGGCCCCCTGAAATTTTTTTTTTTCTTTTTGAACACCCAGCAACGTTCAGGGGTTACTCCTGGCTCTGCACTCATTACTCCTGGTGGTGCTTGGGGGACCATATGCGATGCTGGGGATCGAACCTGGGTCAGCCACATGCAAGGTAAACGCCCTACCCGCTGTGCTATCTCGCTGGCCTCTGAAAGTTCTTTTAAGCAGGCCTGGGGGTGGGGGTGGGGGGTAGGGGTGGGGCTTCCAGGCCTGATTCTGATCCCTGGGCCCAGGAGACCAGGTACGCCCTTCAGAGGCCACTGCCCTGACTGATACCAAGCCCACCCCTGCAGGTGCAGCACCCGGAGCCTTGGCCGCGGTGGGTGGCCTGCAGAGGAGTCACCCTAACCCTTTCCTGCTGCCCTTCTGCATGGGTCCCCTTCTTCTGACGCCCTGGCCCTGGGGCCCCGCCCGGCCTGGTCACCTGGAATGACGATGTCTCCGAGTCCCAGCATGGCGAAGTTGTCGGCATCCAGGCCCTTTTCCAGCAGGTCCTGGGGAAACACCACTGCAGGAAAGCGCAGGGACGTGAGAAGTTGGCCGGAGCCCACCCAGCTCGCCCCGGCCCCCCTCTGGGATTTCTGGGTGGGGTGGAGGATGGGTGGAGTGGCGAGAGGATGTGAATGGGCTGCAGTTACACGGAAGGATCCAGGACTGCCGGGGCCACAGCCGAGAGCGGCGAGTGAGCTGAAGCTCCCGGTGGCACTGGCCCTGCCTAGCAATGGGCAGCTCCCAGGGCACCGGCCCCAATGCTCGGAGTCAACGAGACGCTGACATCTGTCAGGCTCCCCAGGTCATGGACCCCCAGAAAAGGGCCACACGCCTGCACATTTCTCACTCTAAGCCCTCCCCACAAGTCCGCCGGTGGACGTGTTTGGATACGCAGATGGAGAGAAACGTCTCACTGAGCCACGTGCGTGCGGCCCCAGGAGCAAAACAGGCCACCTGAGGCTGTGAACGGGCCATGTAAGGGCTTCAGGCTGCTCACCTGTCAAACGGGCACAACAGCTTTAACCCCATCTACCGCGGGGAGGTTCAGAGACTCACAACCTGGGGAGCGGTTCGTCCCCTGACTCCTTTACAACCCAATCCCAAGGGTGGCTGGGAGGTGGGGACGACACACATCGAGAGGGGCTGTAGCCTTGAGTCCCTAGGCGAGACCAGCCATACCTGCCTGCTGCCATGAGCCTGTGCTCCCCTCGGTGCTCCCTGCTCCGTGCCATCGGCCCCCGGGATCCTGCCCTTGCCTCTGGGTCTCAGCCTGAATCTGAGGTTTCACTCCTAAGCCTGCTACACTTTCCCCCAGCCTCCCATGACAGGTCTGCGTTTGGCAGGGGATTTTGGGGGAAAAGCCTTTGATCAAAGACCAGATGCGCCCTCTGGCCCCTGATGCGGCTGAGGCAGGGGACTGAGGATGCCTGGGCTCTCGCTGCTGACCCGAGACGCCCCAGCAAGCATGTGGAGGGAAGGGAAGGGAGGGAACCGGCGCAGGGGCTGGCTTCCTGAGACCTGAACAGCGGCCACAGCCAGACCCAGACGAGCGGGGTGGGGAGCTCCAGGTGACAGCCCCCTGCCAGCCGTGTGCAAGGCCAGTCACCCCACGGCACGCTGCACTGGAGCCAAAGGTGGGGTCTTGGGTAGTGGCCGCAGAGGTGAGCTCAGAGGCAGGAGGGAGGTGGGAGAGCCCTGAGCGCGGAGGCCGGCGCTGGCTGTGGGGGGCGGGGCACGCACTCACATTTTATCGGCGCCTCAAAGGACTTGGCGACGGTCACCATCACATTGGTGCCAAACACCTGTGAGGAGGAGGAGAGACGGGGTGAGGCCAGGGCCAGGGTGGGCCCTGGGCAGAGCCGAGGTCCACTCTGGGCCACTCGGCCCGTTCATGTGGTTCTGAGGGGCCGCCGGGCTCCAGGGAGAGGGGGGTACGCGGCAAGTCTGAGAGGGGCGTGTGTCTGTTCCAGGTATGGCGCTGCCGGAGAGACTCGCTCAGCTCAGTGCCGCCCTCACCCCGGGCTGGGGATAGGGGTCTAGACCACTGCCCCTCCCCCTGGGCAGTCCCCCCACCGCCCCAGGACTGCTCCTTCAACTTGGCACCTGCCACCCTGCTCGACATCACCGTTGGTCCCCGGATGGGCCCAGCGGGCTGAGAGCACCCAGCCGGGGGTGGACACTCTTGGGTGGGCCGAGGCGGAGGCCTGGAGACTCACCCAGAACACGTCGTAGATGAAGAGGCCGCCCAGGAGGATGCAGCCGGTGCTGACGTTGTTGAGGTGCAGGAGCTCCACCCCGTTGAGGGAGAAGGCCAGGCCGAAGAGGTTGTTGGCGATCCAGTGCTGGGGGAGAGAGAGGGTGGTGAGGCCGGTGCCTGCGCCCACCCCGGGGCACCCCCCCCCCCCCGTCCCCACCCACTCACCTTCCGCAGCAGATACCAGACGCCCACGACGCTGCTCAGGCCCAGGCACACCAGGTCCTTGGTGTCGAACTCGTAGTTGATGATCTCTGGGCAGAGAGGCCAGGTAAGTCCACTCCCCGGGCTGGCCGGGGCCGCCCCTCCCACCTGTCAGCCCCTGGACGGAGGAGGGCAGGGCTGTGGGCACTGCTGGAGGCCACAGGTTGGGGTGCTCAAGGGTCAGCCCAGAGAGAAGGCGGGCCTGACTCGGCCCAGGGTCGCCCTGAGCAGCCACCACCAGTGTGGTGCCCCAGGGGTCCCTGTTTGCTACTCATGGCGGAGGCAAGAGGGAGGGTGCTGGCAGAGGAAGAGGAGTGGTGGGGGGTGCTCGGTGGCGCTCCTGGGGGGTCCCGCGGAGGCTCAACCCTCAAAGGTTCTCGTCGGCCCAGAGCCAGGGATGTCTCTCCAGTTTTGGAAGAGTGGGCCGTGTCTGGCATCACTGCCGCTTTGGCTGGCCACACCTGGCAGTGCTCAGAGTTTATGCCTGGCTCTGTGCCCGGGGTCACTCCTGGGGGTGCTCGGGACTGAACCCAGCCGGCCGCTTGCCAGGCTACTCTACTACTCGCTGTGCTGTCTCTCGGGCCCCTGGAATGACTCTGAGGACACAGCCAGCTCGGGACCACGTTCCCCACATCCCCTGGGCTAAATGGGCCTATGGTACAGCAGCCCTCGCTCTAGCTGGCTGGACCGTACAACGAGGACCCTCGCAGACCACCAGGCCTAGGAAGTAGGATCCCAAAGGCTGCAGAACGTGCCAGGCACCCCAAGAGGGCAAGACCGTCATAAGCTCAGACTCGACTTGTTCTCTGAGGGACAACACGTGCCACTCAAAAATGGATGGCACGTCTGACAGGCTCCACAGGCCACCCTACCCCGGAGCTGCCTCAGGACCAGTCTGTCAGCGCACAACCCCAAGGCTTGTCCACCTTAAGACGACTCCTGGTGGTCCTGGGGATTGCGGTTCCTGGGGGCCAAACTGAGGCGTCACACCTGCTGGGCCCACTGTTCACAGACGGTGACTGCGCTTCCCTCTGGCCAGGCCACTCACACCCGCTGCAGCACACCCTAACCAGCCCCGGGACTGGGTGTGTCCCGACTCCCAGAGTCTTCATTTCCTTTTCTCTTTATTTTCTGGGGCTGGGGACTGGATTCAGGGCTAGTGTGTGAGGCAGGAACCCTACGGGGGAGCAGGGGAGCAACAGGCCTAGTTCTGCTTTCCCAAAAGTTGTGAAACCTAGCTCTCTGACAGGGCCATGACGGGGTGGGGGTGGGGTGGGGGAACGGGGCTAGCCTGGGTGTGAACCCCAGCACCACACACACAGCTACACATAAAAACCATCCTAGCGGGACAGCAGTCACACACGAGAACAGGCCTGATGAAAACAGTTCAGGATGGCCTCCCCATCCTGGTTGGTGTCCAGGGGTGCTCAGAGGAGCCTCCAGCCCATGGAGCTGCCTCCCCGGCCTGGTGCAGGCTCTCCCCTTCTCATACAGAGCCCTAACTACATGCCTCCGAGGCAGGAATGAGGTCCTGGGTCCACTGTACAGATGCAGAGAACTCTCCAACCAGGGACGGCCAAGGTTCGGGGAGGGAACCGTGCTGGCCCAGAGTCGAGGGTGCAGGTAGGTGGGCTCTGGCCCCACCATCCCGCCCTCCTGGAGAGGTGAAGGGGCGGCGGGTAGCACTGACCTTCCTTGTTCTCCCCAGAGCCCTGCGTGAAGAGCAGCTGGTACTGTCGGTTTGGGAAGTTGGCTGGGAAAAACTTATTCATGAAGGGGCTGGAAGGAGAAACAGAGACGTCAGTAAGCAGAGCTCCCGGGGGGCGACCACCGGCCCAGCCACCCCATGCAGGCACCAGTCACGGCCGGGGAATGTTCCCGCTTCACAGGGGAGAAAACAACCTGAGGAGGGTCAGGCAGGGAGTCGGGATCTGAGCGGACCTGCTTCTCGGTTCCGTGATTGCCCATGACGCACAGAGCCCAGGTGGGTGTGCGGTGACACTCACGTGGGTCCTCAGGCGGCCACAGACCCTGACGCCTGGTCCCTGCGCTATTCCCACACTGACCTGAGCCCACCTGAGATGTTTATGGGGCCATTTATGGGGCCGCATGGGATGGGCAGGTGAGTCACAGCCCCGCGGGTGGGGCCGCCCTCACGTTCCTTCCTCCCACCAGGCCTTTTTGGACCTGGATCCAGACTGAAGGATTTTCTCTGATGACTCAGAATATGGCAATTCCTGGCCAGGCGGGCACTGACTTCCTCTCCAGGATCACCTTTCCACTTCAGTACCTGGGGCCTCGGGGCAGCAGGGCTGGGGAGTAGGTGGCCCAGCCCCGAGGTCGCCTCCAGCTGTGGAGAGGCGAGAAGGCAGGGGCTGTGCTCAGGCCGGGCCTGGGCCCATAAACGCAGCGTTTGCTGTGATGTTCAGCTGGGGCATTGGCCTCAGCAGATTAGAGCGGCAATGACTGAGGAGGGTGTCAAACCCCGAGGGGTCGCCCCCGACAGCAGGTAGATGGAGGCGGTTGGCGTGCAGCTGTAAGGGGGAGCCGAGGGACCTCTTGATGAGACCCGGGGCCTTGGGAAAAGACGTGGATTCAAGAGACAACTCGGCCTCAATTCTCCGCTCATCCAACAGCCAATCCCACGGAGGAAGGAGGGGCAGGAGTGAGTGCCTGGGCTGGGGACAGGGTGGCACCAGGACAGGCGGAGACGGGAAGGAACCATGAGGCTGGAAGTCACTTTCATTTACTTTTCGTTTTTGAGTCGCACCCGACGGTGCTCGGGGGCTACTCCTGGCTCTGTGCTCAGGGATCCCTCCTGATGGTGCTTGGGGATTGAACCTGGGTTGGCTGTGTGCAAAGCAGCACCCGGCTCCTGTTCTGGCCCGGAAGTCACTTTGATCCCGTCTGCAGAGGCAGGGAGAGGCCCGAGCTGCCGGGCCTCCACAGCGGCTTCTTCCACAGGGAGCTGGATCTGGAAAGCCCCTGCGTGTCCTGGAAAAGTTGCTCTCTGCTTCCTTACAGGGGAGGCGGCCAGGCCACAGTTCTCTGTCTCAAAGGCTACGGAGGAAGGCAACAGGGCTCGCCCGCTCCGGCACTGGGAAGGACAGGTAAGGGCAGCCTCAGCCTCGATCAGGAAGCCTCTGCGAACCGGAGTCTGTGAGCCCGCAATTGCAGGCAGGGGTCCCAGCTCAGCACCTCGTGCCCGGCAGCGGGGAACACTCGGTTCCCGGCTGGCCGCCTCTGGCTGCCTGACATCTGTGGCAGGCGGCCTCTTCCTGGCTCCTGTCAGAACTAAAGGTCACTCCTCCCTGAAACCACATCCTGGAGCCCTTCCCGCAGGCTGGGGGTGGAGGCGTGGGCAGGGGAGCCATAGTGTGGGTTCTGCTGGCTCAAAAGGTCAGCTGAAGGCGAGAGGGCGAGCTCAAAGGGCAGGAAAAGAGGCTGAGGTTAATTTGGCAGCAAGGATTCTGGCTGGGGCCTGGAGTCTTGGTGCCGGGGGCAAGTGATGGTAGGCACAAGCTGTGGACTTGGTGGCGGCAGTGTCTTCCCGAGAGGTGTGAAGTGGGCGGGGGAGGAAAGGATCCCAGAGCCTCAGCCTGTGGCTCTGAGCTCAGCTCTTTGTTTTTGGGGGGGCACGCCTGGTGGTGCTCAGGGGTCACTCCTGAGTGCAGGAGACCATCGGGAATGACGCAGATCAAACGTGAGTCGGCTCTGTGCTACTGCTCCAGCCCCTCAGGCTCAGCTCTGGCAGCAGATCACTCTGCCGCCCCTGGAGACCAGAGGCCAAGGCAAGAGCACCTGGCCCAGCCGCTCTCCTTACCTGGCTTCCACCTGCCATGACCACCCCCGCTCCCAGGGCACACACCCTCTGCGCCCTGATCTCCCTGTCTTCAACCCTCCACAGACCACGTGGCTTGGAGGAAGGTCTGACTCTAGGTTTGTGCACGAACAGCTCACCAGAATTCTAGTAACAAGGCAGACTTTTTCTTTTTTGTTTCTGGGCTACCCCCTGCAGTGCTCAGAGCTCTGTGCTCAGGGATCACTCCTGATGATACTCCCGGGACCATATCAGCTGACGGGAATCAAACCTTGCTGGCCATATGCAAGGGAAGCAGTGACCTGCTGTACTCTCTCTCTGGCCTGGTCATAGTAAATGTTACCATGGACAGTTCGTGGTGCTCCTGGCTTAGTCTGTGTTGCTCATTTCTAGGGTCAAAATTATAAACTGGCTAACAGACGACTGCCTCCTGGATAATAAACGAGGAATCTACACGGTTTCTTAGTTATTCTACTAAAAGGGGAAAACAATGGGAGCTGGAGAGAGAGTACAGTGGGTAAGGCCTTGCAGGCAGCTGACTGGGTCCGATCCCTGAGCACAGAGCTAGGAGTAAGCACCTAAGCACTGCCCAGCATGTCCTCTCTCCCTGTAACAAAACCAAACCAAAACAACCCCCCTAAAAAACCATAAAAAGATAACAGGTTCAAAACACCCAGTGTGGGCAACTGGGTGGAGATCTCTCTGGCAGAGTCGAGTTAAAGAACAAACAAGGAGGCTGGAGTGACAGCACGGCGGGTAGGGCGTTTGCCTTGCATGTGGCCGACTCGGGTTCGATTCCCAGCATCCCATGTGGTCCCCCGAGCACTGTCAGGAGTAACTCCTGAGTGCATGAGCCAGGAGTAACCCCTGAGCATTGCTGGGTATGACCCAAAAAGGAAAAAAAAAAAAAACAAAAACCCCAAAATAATACAAAACAAAGAAACCCCAAACAAGTCCCTCAGTAAAAGGTGAGAACCGTCTGGGTCACAGAGAGGATGGCGGTCTCAGGGCTCCAGTGGGTGCGGGGTAGGTGGGCGAGTGCTGGGGACTCGAATCATGACAGGAAGGAGAGGATCTGCCCACCAGTAACGGGACCGACCACATTGGGTGTGGCTGGGCGAGTGCACAGGAACTCACCCACTTCAGCCAGAACAAAAATCAAGGGTGAGGTGGCAGGGAAAGACGACAGGAAGAGGTGAAAGGGCAGAGCTCCAGGTTTAAGACTGTGAGTCCAGCCACCCAGCAGGCTCTGGCAGGCCGGCTCCATGCCCAGGACGTCCCATGGTGGCTTGTCTCTCTCCTGTCACCCCGCAAGGGGAGATCTGCGTGAGCCTCATGTTTTTTTTTGTTTTTTTTTTGGGCAGGGGTGAGGGGGGATCACATTCAGCAACACTCGGGTTACTCCTGGCTCTGTGCTCAGGAATTACTCCTGGTGATGCTTAGGGGAACCGTAAGGAATGCCAGGGATCGAACCAAGATCGGCTGTGTGCAAGGCAAACGCCCTACTTGCGGTCCTATCGTTCTGGCTCTGCCTCCTGCCCTTTATTTCCCCTCTTTTTGGTTTCTGGGACACAGCTGGTGGTGCTTGAGGGGTGGGGACGGGGGTTGTCCCTGGTGGGGCTTGAAGAGCCGCTGCTGGGGGTCGGGCCTGGGGCTCCCACAAGCCCTTTGAGTCGTCTCCATTCACAGGCGAAGGAACGTGTCGGGACGTGGAGTGCCGCGTGAAGGTGCTGGAGCCAGGTTGTTCCTGGGCGCCTACAGAGCGGCCTGGCCTCTGGGGTCCACTCCTGACCACTGCACTGACCGGAAGCGAGTGGGAGCGAGGCCAATGCTCACCCTGCGTGCAGCCTCTTTCCGTCAGCACTCTCGCTCTCTCTCTCTCTGCACCTTCCACCCTCCTGGGCCATCCTTGGTTCTCCACCGCACACCAGCTCCAGGACCCAGCTGGGCAGGGCTGGGGAGCCAACTGAGGTGGCAAGTGGAGTGAGGGATGCCGGGTGCTGACGACCCCCCCATGAACAGGCCTTGGGGGCCAAAGTGGCGAACCGCAGACCCCCAGGCCCAGACCAGGAACCCCCACTGGACTCCCACCAGCCCGTGTCAGAGCAGGATGCCCGGGAGGAGAGCAAAGGCTCTGAGGCCACACAGGCCTGGGTTTGACTCCTGGCTCTCCCATCTCATCAGCTGTGTGACCCTAGCTGGTTTCGTAACCTCTCTGGGCCCCAGTTTGCTTTTTTTTTTTTTTTTTTGGCCTTTTGGGTCACACCCAGCGATGTTCAGGCGTCACTCCTGGTTCTGCACTCAGGAATTACTCCTGGCGGTGCTTGGGGGACCATATGGGATGCTGGGGATCGAACCCGGGTCAGCTGTGTGCAAGGCAAATGCCCTACCCACTCCGGCATCCTGGGCCCCAGTTTTCAAACATGATTAAAAGCAAAAGTCAGCCATTGGAGGTTATCCGGCAGGACAACACAGTTCACACAACGCACGAGGCACCAGGCTCTGGGTGCAAAGCTTCCCTGGTGGAAGGTACCGTGGGATCCTCCCAACACTCAGGTGAGGCAGCTGAGGCCAGCAAGTGCTCCTGAGGCAACTAGGACTCCAGCTCGGGTGAGGCCGTCGAGTTCCAGGGCCCACGCTCCCGGCTCCGCCTGGTGTGGCAGCAGATGAGGGCGCCTGCCGATGGCAGTAGCGTCGCCAGCCTCAGTGTGGAGGCGACCTCACCCGCCCTCACCTCAAAGCTCCCTGGGCCCCCACCCCACCCCCCCGTGTGGTGGGGTCAGACGCCCCAGGCTACTCTCAGCCCTGCTCCGGAGGAAGACTGTGGCCCAGAGAGGTTAGAGACCTGGTCCCAGGTCACCCGCAGTTGTGACATGGGGTACGAGAACCCGGCTGGGACAGCCGGCAGAGGCCACGCTCCCCTCCAAGGCCCTCGCCCGTTCCTGGGAAAAGCGGCTTCGAACGCTGCAGAGGCGGCTTCTGACCTGATGGTGTGGGACAGGGCCAGGATTCCCAGCACGAAGAAATACATGGACAGCAAAAGGTTGATGTACTCCTGGGAGAATATCTGAGCAGAAATACAAAGAGAAACAGAAAGTCAGGCCATGAGGAAACCAGTGCGCCCCTTTCTCGCTCTCTTTTATTTTTATTTTTTGTGGGGGGGGGGGAGGCTGGGGGTCTGGGCCACAACAGGGGCTATTCCTGGCTCTGTGCTCGGGAGTGACCCCTGGTGATACCCAGGGCACCATCCATGGTGCTGGGCAAATGGAAGAGGGTGGGCCGAAGAGGCGCAGGCCAGTGCAGGCCCTCAGTGCGGCTCCCCGACCCCTCTCTGGGGTGGGCTCAACCGGCTGAGGTTGGGGAGTGGCGTCAGGGAGACTCTCAGACAGCCCCGGGCCTTCTGGCTTCTGTGGCTATGGGAGGCGGGTGGGGAAAGAACCTCACTGTGGCCTGAGTACTAGGCCCAGCCCTCTGGGGCCCCAGGCGCCAGCCTGTCTGCGCGATGATGGGGGAAGGGGGCATTCTTCCGAGTCTCGAGTCTTCTGCACCCCGGAAACACTCTTCTCGGGCTCCTCCTTGCTCAGAATCCAGGTAGGGCCTGGCAGAGGCCACCTCGGCCCTGGGCACCCTAAGACACAAGCTCTCTGTGCTGCTCCGCTCCCTCAACCCGCGTCTCTGGGCGCTGTGCACCCCCCCCCCCCCCCCGTCACGCCCACAGGTCCGGAGCTCTGTTCCTGGTGTGCCAGACTCTCTCGCAGTGCTCCTGAGCTCTGGGACGGCAGCACCTCACCCCCCCTCCATCACATCACATTTGCTGCGTTATCTTCCGACTCTGTTGCCACCGAGGCTCTCTCACCGGGAGGGACGGGCTCTGGTGGGGGGTGTGGGGAGACGCTGCTGGCAGGGAGCAGGAGGGGAGCTACGGGGGCGCCCCTGCCTGCAGGCTCACTCTGGCCTTGCGTCCACGCGCCACGCTGCCCTCTGCGCAGGCCTCGTCTGAGCCACCATCCCGTGCACCTGCTTCCTGCGGCCCGTCTTCTCCGAGTCTCCACTCAGCTATTTCCTTTTTGTTTCTGTTTTGGTTTCTGGGCCACACCTGGTGTTGCTCAGGGGCTACTCGTGGCTCTCTGCTCAGGGATCACTCTGGGCGGGCTTGGGGGACCTTATGAGATGCTGGGGATCGAACCTGGGTCAGCTGCCTTCAAGGCATGCGCTTTCCCCACTGTACCGTCACTCTGGCCCCTCCCTTACTATTTCCTGCGTCCCTCCTATGTGCTCACCACTGGGGAAGGCCCAGGGAAGAAGCAGACGAGCCCATGGCCTCATGGGGTTTGAGTACCAGTGAGGGAGAAAGAACATCACAGGACCTTTACCCAAAAGACCATCTGGGGGGTCATGGGGACAGGCAGACACAGGGGGCAGGGGGAGTGAAGGGGGAAGAGAGTTGTGCCTCAGCCAGCCAGCCAGCCAGCCAGGGGAAAACTACTGGAAGACAGCTGTGTGGCTGTCAGAGGGTATATCTGAGATGGCAGGAAGGGTGCGTGCAAAGGTCCTGAGGTGAGTGCAGATGGTGCAGGGAAGAGGGAGGGCTGGAGCTGAGGCAATACAGAGTGTACTGTAACTCCCTGAGGAACGGAGACCCTGGGAGGGGTTAGAGAGGCATCAGGGTGAGACAGGCCAGCTGTGATCTGACGCTTAAGAGGCCATCTCTGCTGCTGTGGGGGAGCAGATGGCCCCCTACACCCTTCGGCAGTGGCACCATGAACTGGGGGTGTAGGGGTCTGAAGTCAGTGGCCACAGAGTCCAGGTCTCTCCTGAGAGTGGGAGCTGTAGGCAGTGCTCAGCGGCTGGCAGAGGCTGGGAGAGCAGGGCAGGACAGGGGCGGGCCTTCCGCTTTCCTGGCCCTGCAGAATGGCTTTCACTTCCCGTCTGATCCTGGGATGATCTGCTTGGTGTCAGTCTCTGCCACTGAGCACGGTCTGCGCCGAGGGTGTGGAGGGGTGGGCCCTTCTCGCTGCCGTGTCCCTGGCATCCAGCCCAGACTGGTTGTAGGGAATGAATGAGCGAACAGATCCTGGAGGCTGCACAAGGGGCTGGGTGCCCGTTTCTCAGGCCCGCAGTCGGGTTCTGCTGATGAAGCGGACACTTTTCTGGGGTGTTAACCCTAAGCCTGTCTGACGAGCATGGCTGAACCCCAAGACTCTCACTTCTTTGCGCTTTGGCTGCGAGGAAGGCAGAGCTGTGGCCCCGTCAAGAGCATTTGAGCGGAGGAGCACGTATCTTTGGGACATGGGGTTGGGGCATGGCTCTCGCCCAAGGCTTCTTCTTTTGATCTTATTTTATTTTACTATGATGAGGATGATGATCCGTTTTTGGCTTTTTGGGTCATACCTGACGCTACGCAGGGGTTACTCCTGGCTCTGCACTCAGGAATCACTCCCAGCAGTGCTCGGGGAACCATGTGGGATGCCGGGGATCGAACCGGTGTTGGCTGTATGCAAGGCAAACACCCTCCCTGCTGTACTATCCTTCTGGTCCCTCGATCCTGTTTTAATGGTTTGTTTACTCTAAGTTCTTCCTTTTATGTTTCTTATGTTGTGGGATTTAGGTTCTCTTTCCTTTTGGACCACCACATCTGGGGGTTCTCAAGGTGAAGGGCCATGCAGTATTGGGGATGGAACTGGGGCCAAGCACATGGTTTTGGAGCACAGCCGGCCATGCTCAGGGGGTGACTCCTGGCTCTGCACTCAGTACTCATTCCCCGCAGTGCTCGAGGGACCATACTGGGAAGCCGGATTGAACCTGGGCCGGCCACATACTATTTCTCTGGCCCCAGTTGCCAGAAATTCTTTCGGGAAACCCTGCTGCAAGATAAACTCTGAAGTCATAAAAACGTGAAAGGGTTCTGAGGAAAGGGTATACCATGAGCACTCGGCACAGACCCGAGAAGGACCTGCTGAGGGGCCACAGACAGACACGGCACACACTCGGACTCGGGGAAAGCAGACTCGGGCCCAGCACACAGGGACACACCAACACCAGCAACGTGACCAGGAGACACACAGCTGAGAACATGACCCAACGTGACGGAGCAGGAGCCTCTGGTGAAGGAAATGCAGCTGGGGGTCGAGGTGGATTTCAGGGGTGATGCAGAAGGAAAAAAAATGAGAAGGCTCTAGCATGGACTGATGATGGAGTGCCATGATTTGAAAGAGAAGATAAATTCAACTATTTACCCAGGAAAAAAGGGGGAAAAAAACCCCAGTGACTACCTAATTTGGCATAGGCTTGTTTTGTTTTGTTTTGGGGGTGACACTTGATGCTTCAGAGGGTGCTACTCTCGGCTCAGTGCTCAAGGGTGGTGCTTGGAGGACCATATGGTGCCCAGGGATGGTACCCGAGGCCTCCTGCAAACAAAGGTTGTGCTTAGCCCATAGAACTATCTCTTCAGCCTTCGATGTGCTCTTTTCTGTTTGTTTTTGGGCCACACCCAGTGGTGCTCTGGGATCAGGCCTGGCAGGGCTCAGAGGACCATGTGGGGTACCGGGGATCAAACCCAGGTGGGCTGCATGCAAAGCAAGCACCCAGCCCACTGTTCCATCTCTCTGGCTCTCCTTGATTAATTTTTAATTCTCTCTTAGAGAATTAAAACCAGAATGACTTTTTCTGCTTCAAATGATGGAGGCAGTGGAAGTCGGCCATGTGCCGGCCTTTTGGGTCGCACCCAGTAAAGCTCAGGGCTTACTCCTGGCGCTGCACTCAGAAATTACTCCTGGTGGACCTCAGGAATCATATGGGATACCAGGGATTGAACTCGTGTTGGCTGCGTGCAAGGCAAACACCCTCCCCTCTGTACTATTGCTCTGGCCCCTTGCTGAAACTGTTACAAAGTGGAGTTCTGAAGGAGTTGGATGAAACTGAAACAGGAAACAGGTGCAGGTAATGCAGGTGAGATGCAGAAAGCTGATCCCTAAGGCTGGGAGTGTAGGTTGGTTCAATCACTTTGAAGAGATCTAGCACTATCTCTAGAGACGTTGTTTCTATCGCAGACACACTTGAGGCTCTGCACACATGCCAAGCTGTGCATATGTGCAGGGGGATGTTCAGGGCATCCCGGCACTGTGCAAGGTCCCAGAAGTCTGCAGGGTTATTTCTCTGAACACGGTCATGAGCAGCTCTTGAAAGAAATGAGAGCTGTAACGGTGTGGATAAAAATATCTCCATGGTGAGAATAAACACATTCTCATATACAGTGATACACTTACTTTTAAATTTTAGCAAAACAGATTCAAAAGAAATCATATTGAGGATATCTGTCCCTTTGTGCCTTTAGGTTGAAAACCACTGTTTTGGTGGGGGTGGATGGTTAGGCCATACCTGGTGGTGGTCGGGGGTCATTCCTGACAGTGCTTGGGGGAAAACATGGTTCTGGGAATGGAGCAGGGGTCGAGTACGTGTGGAGCAAAGCACCCTAACACCTATACTACTCACTCCAGCGTCTTGGTGAAAAAACATAGAAACCATGAATTATACATAACCATGTTTTTTAAGGCCCCCCAAAGCAGGAGGCCTGGGGACCCCAACAGCAATTCTTGGCCAACTGGGTCTTGGCATGCGCTTGGGGATACTGATCAGGCCATGGTCCCAGGATTACTTGGGTCAGCTGAGGTGCTGCAGGCCTTCAGGGCTACCCCCAAGTGCTTAGGGAGCCTCCAGGGCTGCTCCCAGTGATGCTTTAGGGACCACGAGTTGTCGGGAATTGAACCTAGTTTAGGTGCTTACTAGGCCTGTGCCCTAGCCATTATACTATCTCTGGTCCCTGGACATGTTATTATTTAAAAATATATATAGTTTCTGGTTTGGGGGGCATACCCATTGGTACTCAGGGCTTACTCCTGGCTCTGTGCTCAAAGATCACTCCTGGAAGTGTTCCGGGAGACCATATGTAGTACCAGGGATTGAACCTCGGTCAGCTCTGTGCAAGACAAACATGGTACTTGCTGTACTACTGCTCTGACCCCACAGACATATGACTTTAAAATTTAGATTAAAATACATCCTAGAGGGGCCTGTGTGGTGGCTCAAAGAGCTGGTATAAGCTCTGCATGAAAGAGGCCCAGGTTTGGTCCTGGCACCATATGTCCCTGAGCACTGCCAGGAGTGTTCCCTGAGCAGCGAGCTGGGTGTGGCACAAAAACCAAAGAACAACAACAACAAAATAGCATTCCTGAGAAAACTGCAACGACCAGGAAGGAAAGTGCTTGGATTGCACTAACAGTACAAGAAAACGTAGGACACAGCACTTTGGTTACGAGAGGATCATAAACAGGCTTCTGGGGAATCTGAAGGTGCTCATGGCACCAGGCTCACTGTGAGTATCTCTGTGCACCCCCACCCCTGCCTGGAATTTCCCCCCCTCCTTTTAAGGTTTCGGTACCTATCACTTTTATTATCAGAAAAGTTTTATTTTATTTATTTATTTTGCTTTCTGGGTCACACCCGGCTTTTGCACAGGGGTTACTCCTGACTCTGCACTCAGGAATTACTCCTGGCAGTGCTCAGGCGACCATACGGATGCTGGGAATTCAACCTGGGTTGGCCACGTGCAAAGCAAATGCCCTAACCACTGTGCTATCGCTCTAGCCCCTCTCAGAAAAGTTTTAGAGAATATTAAAAAAAAAATTAAAAAAGGGTATGGGTATTTTGCAGAAACATGAGAATGCTCAGGATGCTGTTAACGTGAGTGGGAAAAGCAGCTACGAGACTGCAGACACCACGCGGTCACAGCCACGAAGAAGCCGCCCGGGGAAGGGCGGGAGGACACACCTCGGCCGGAAGCCCGTGGCTGTCTCTGGCAGTGGGGTTTTGGAGGACTGCTGCTTTCCCCTTTTTACTTTTCTGTGTTTTCCAGGTTTTCAACACTGAGCCGGTGTAACTTTTACTAGGAAAATAAACCTCGATAAATTAAAAAACAAACAAAAAAGGCAATTAGTATGGTAGAGGCATGTCGAAGACACAAGCTATACACCCCATCCCCGTACACACGGTACAAAGAAACCAAACTGGAGCCACAAAAAAAAAAAAAAAAAAAAAAGCAAAAAAAGCTACCTGGAGTTAAAAAATAAACTTGGGAAGAACTATCAAGCACCAACAGCGCTAGTCTGGGCGGAGGGTGGTGGGGCTGTGGGGAGACTATCTTCTCCTGCTCTTAAAAATTTTCTTTTTCTTCCCTTTAAATAAATGAACATGCATTACCCCTGTGATGGGGATAAATAAAATGAAGCTATTTTTAAACCAAAGGGCACAGAGCTGGCCAAGGACTTACTTTGAAGAAGAGGTAGAGCCCCAAGAGCGTGCAGCTGGCGATGATGGGAAAGCGGGCGGCGTCCCGGCTGGTGATGGTCTCTGGCATGTCCGAAGCGTTCTGGGGGAAGAGAGTGACCCCTGAGTCGCTGTGGGAGCCGTGTATTGGCACGGACCCGAAGCCCCAGAAGCCCAGAACCAGGCTGCTCCTGATTCAGTCATGGGCCCTGCTGCTTCCCACATTTCCCAACCTCAAGGCTCTTGAATTTGGTGGCCCAGGGGGGCCCCAGCGACCCTGCGGCAAGACATTCTAAGTGTCCACGGAGGAGACGGGCACTGGCAGGGTTTGGACAATAGTGGCAGACCAAAGGAGAACCAGAACCAGTCTTCTTTTTATGGGAGGGTCACACCCAGTGATACACAGAGGTTGCTCCTGGCTCTGCCCTCAGGAATTACTCCTGGCGGTGCTTGGGGGACCATATGGGATGCTGGGACTCGAACCCGGAGCGGCTGTGTGCAAGGCAAATGCCCTACCTGCTGTGCTATGGCTCCAGCACTGGAACCAAGTCTTCTTAAGGATTAGCAAAGGCAGAGGCTGGGAGCCCTTCATCCTGAGGGATGAGTACTTATGAGTAAACAAACCAAAAGCAACGGAGAGGATGAGGGTTGAAACCAGACAGGAGAAGACACCAACTATAAGCACAAGCAACTCTTTGCAAAACTTGACTGAAAAAAAAAAAAAAGAAAAAAAAGTTACTAGAATCTGTTAAGTTATAAGCACAGGGGCTGAAGCTGTATAGTTCAGCAACTGGTTCTACTTGGCACCTTAAAAAAAAAAAAGAAATCAACTAGTAGGGCTGGAGAGATAGTACAGTGGGTAAGCACATGCCTTGCATGTGGACTACCTGAGTTCATCCCCGAGCACACAGCCAGGAGGAAGCCCTGAATGCAGCCAGGTGCGGCCACACCTTCAGCACCACCCCTCTCTGCAAAGAACCCGCAAATTTTTTAATGGTAGATGCTCTAGTTGACAACAATGTGATCAGGGTAAAGAGCTGAAGGAGGATAAATATTTACATAAATAACTGAGTCCTGGGCTGTAAGGAGAGTGTAAGAAGCACGTGTAAACAGTGTGAAGAGCAGGCTCTGTACAGGGAAGGAAGGCCTGGTCTGTCCATGGTACTGCATGTCCCCCAAGCACCACTCAGATAATCTCGTTACTGGGCCAAGCCAAGAAGCCCGGGCACTTTACATATGATCCCAGAGCATCACACCAGGAGTCAGTCTGAGCAACGCCTGGTGCAGGGCCCCTCACAACAAACACGGCCAGAGAGATAGTGCAGGGGGTTTAGGTGCTAATCTTGCACAGGGCTAACCCGGGTTTGCACCCCGGCAACCAGCACTGCTAGGGACAGTGATTCCAGATCACAGGAGTAAGTCCTGCACACTGCTGGGTGTGGCCCCAAAACTCACCCCCCCAAAAAAAAACAACAAACCAAAAACCAAACCAAACCAAACCCCTATCCAAAAAACAAATCGAAGTAATTTCAGTGTATGAAAATGGAGAATTGGGGGGCTGGAGCGATAGTACAGTGGGTACAGCATTTGCCCTGCACGTGGCTGACTCCAGTTCGATCCCTGGCATCCCATATGGTTCCCCCAGCACTGCCAGGAATAATTCCTGAGTGCAGTTTCAGAAGTGACCCCTGATGCAGAAAGGGGAAAAAAAATTGGGAGTTGAAATATCTGTTAACACAAGAACGAACTCATAAGAGAAGGCAGACTTTCTCAAAACCACCTGTAACAGAGTAACTCTGCTCTAAGCAAGTAAGGCACAGTCCAAAGCTTTCAGGATGATCTTAGGATGCTCTCCTGGATCCGTCTGCGAGGCACAGCCCTCCTACAAAGGCTTCCCAGCCGTGCTCACCAGGACGAGCCTAGTCCCCAGCTGCGATTCCCATGCCACTTTACATGGCCGGTTCCATTTTACAGCACAGCTAGCAAAGTCCTGGTGCTACCAGATTCCATGTCTGCTCACGCTAATGGGGCGTTTTCTCCCCAAGAGCCCCAGGCTCATCACAGAGCCCAGGTGCCCCGTCACAAGTCTGTGCTATGAATAAGACCTTGACATCCCTGGTGTGAGGAAAGATCTGTTCAGCACCAGCGTCTCAGTGGTAATTCAGATCAGAGCCACCTTGCCAATGAGGCAACACATATTACTACAGGGTCCTTGGCGTGTGTGTGTGTGTGTGTGTGTGTAGGAATCCTGGCTCAGGGTGGAAGCTGCAGAAGATGATGAGGGCATAGGAAAGCAAGCCCCGGCGAGGTCGATGGAAGACAGAGATGCGGGGAACAAACCCCACTGGTTTGTGACAAATGGGTTAAGGCAGCTGGGGAGGGTAACCTGCAGGCCTCCAGCTGGAAACTGGACATGGCAGACACCTGGAAAAGAGTCACGGAAATGGAAACCGCAATGACCCCAAACCTCCGGGAAACCGTTGACTCTCTCTAGTAAGGGAAGTGCAAAGGGAAGGGTGTAGCTTCGGTGCTTTTTCTAGCAGGACGGCAGCAGTGCCGGTTTGGTGACATAGGGAGCGGGTGATGCTGTGGCTGCAGGAACGCCCCGCCCTGGGGACAGGGGAGCACACCTGGGCAGGACAGATCAGTCTTAGCTGCACACACGGTTTGAGCCAGCAATTTCACTTCTGGGGAGTTTTCCGATAGAAAGAAACTATATAAGTGGGGGAAAAAAAAAACAACCAAACCAAACACGACACAAATACAAAGCATAGCTAAGACTGTCACTGCTCTAGTAATGGCTGGGGGACTGAGACAAACCATTTGTTCTCTGTGTCTCAGTTTCCTCATCTCTAGCTTCACTGACCTCGGAAAAGGCTAAGGGCTTAATAACCCAAGGGAGGGACAGGATGCCGGGGTGTGAATCACAGCAGGGCTGCAGACGAGCAGTGAAACCCTGGGAGGCACCAAAGAGGTTGGTGACTGCTTCTGACATATCGACATGGGCCTGGCAGACCCTCTTGGTCCCTTGCTGCCCTCTTGGTCCCTCCATGGCAGCACCGAGGGGCAGTGGGACCACCGGCCTCCCCTTGCTTCCCAGCCCTCGGTGCTGCCTTTGGGGAGTGTGCACAGCACGGCACAGGCCAATGCCTCACCCCTGGGTACCACCACGAGCCCCGGCTGCTTCCTCTGCAGCAGTGCACAAAGCCAGTGAGATGAGACAGCTTCTGACTTGGTGCTCACAGGCCGGCAGGCAAAGACCCCCCCCGAACATGGGACACCCCACTGGAGGGATGGGATAAGAACTGCAGGCCAGTGCTGAGCGTTCCCAGGCGGACTCGTGGTCCTGCTTCCTCCTGGCAGGGGAACCTGGACACGCCGTCTCCTCAGCCCTGGCGCTTGTGCTGTCAGGGTCCTGAGTGGGGCACTGGCCATCACTCCTGCTAGACTCCGGATCGGAAGTGTCAGAGTGTGTAGGGGACACAGGAGAAAGCAGGAGACGGCCGCCAGCACCAGGTGGCCCTGGGCAGAGGCTCTGGGTCCCATTCTTGGAGCTGCTGGAGCCAGGCTGTTTGCTCTGGGTGGAAGGAAAGCAGGTACCCGATGGACATGGGGAGCACAGCACATGGGGAAGGCTCCAGGGGGCTCTGGCTTCACCGAGACCAGCAGGAAGCTCTTGGTCACACACTCCTTTCAATTCCCCCCCCCCCTATTTCCGGGTGAGAAGAGGTTTAGTACTATCTGATGACAGACCAAGGCCGGACAGACACCCCACCTCGGTGTGGTGGGTGACTGTAGGATAACACTGTTTTGTCCTTCCTGCATAGCCTCAGGTAGTTTAGGTTTATTGGGTTGCTCCCATCACAGTGTTCCCATTCCTCTGTGTTTATTTGTAACTTCTTTCTTTGTGCTCTGTTGACTTGTAAATATTGTTTTTTTCTTCTCCCTGCATCCTTTGCATAGTTTATTCAGAGCAATGTCCTTTTAGTATGGACACAAGAAGACTTTTGTTGTGTGACTCTCAGTGATATTTTCCTCCTGGGCATCTGTTCTCTCACCTAAGCCTCAGCTGCCCTTTCTTCCTAGGGCCCCCAAAAGCAGGGTCCTGAAGAGGGACTGGATGGAACCAGGGCAAGCAGTAAGCTATGTGCTACCCTGGCATCGAGATGGGCCTGGCCAAAGTGCCATAATGCTTAACTATAAGTTAAGAACTTGGTCATGGACAAATGTGGTCATGATCCAAAAATTAATAATTTGATTCGGACCCTGCTAGGGTTAGGAATGATTAATCTGTCCTGAGCGCTGTAGTCTGAGACTGTGGCAAGATGTTCCCAGGAGAGCTACCCTACAAGCCTCAATGTTATCTCTGTGACTATACAAAAATAACTAGTATTTCGATGTTGATTGAGTTATTGGACTGAGGAAAGGAAAAAAACACCTTAGGAGGTATTTTGCCTGGGGCAGTCAGGAAGGGCTTTGGAATACCTTTTAGGTGGTGTTCCCTTTGAACTTGGTGGGCCCTCAGGAACGGATTTCTTTCTTTCTTCTTTTTTTTGCTTTCTGGATCACACCCAGCCGATGCACAGGGGTTACTCCTGGCTCTGCACTCAGGAATCACTCCTGGCGGTGCTTGGGGGACCATATGGGTGCTGGGAATCGAACCTGGCTCAGCCGCATGTAAGGCAAATGCCCTACCCGCTCTGCTATTTGCTCCAGCCCCAGGAAGGGCTTTCTTAGGTTGATTTTGCTACCTGACTGGGTGCAGTGTCAGCCCAGAGTATAGGGGTGCTGGAAACGAAGAAAGCTGGAGAGAGAGGAGGGCGGCATGACGGACCATGGAGAGGCTAGCAAGGGGGACAGAGAGAGAAGAATGTAGAAGAATACAGGAGCAGGCAGCAGGCATGTGGAGAGAGAGAGAGAGAGAGAGAGAGAGAGAGAGAGAGAGAGAGAGAGAGAGAGAGAGCGCCCAGGCTGCAAGATGAAGCACAGAGAGATGAGCGGGAGAGACAGAAGGGACGGGAATGAGGAGCAGTGAGAGACTAGAATGGGAGGCTCAGAGAGGCAAGTGGGGAGAATGGAATAAACAGCATCTGATCAATCAAC